AAAAAATTATTAATAATATTATATATATTTATTTAATAATATATTATGATAATAAATTTAACGACTTGCATGACATTGTAATAATTATAGGATTGCCATATAAAAAAATTTATAAAAAATAAAAACGACTGTTATTTGAATCATAAAGTTTTGGGTAGAATCTAAAAGGTGCAAGACAAGCCCAAATTGAGCGGGTCTATTTAAAATAATATTAACCAAAGGCCACGAACCCATATTACAATTGGAGCCTCGGCCCTTCAGCCTAGACTGGCCTCTGGCGGTTAGAGGTCGGGACCTAAACTTTAACGATTGGCCGTCAGTTCCCGGCACCACTAGGCACTATCTACCTTCAACTTGGGAAGAGAAATTAGTTTTGTAGTACGATATAGAAGTGTTAAAAAATAACCATTAATAAAGAGGATCGAAAGGGGCTCATCCTTCGTCAAAAGTGTGTTGCTGATAAATAAATAATAAATAAATAAAACTGTATTTCTTCCTGGCATAAGTTCTTAAAACAATGAGAATATGCATTTTTTAAACAAATTAACCACTTCACCTTGAGGTACTTTTCTCGACTGGTGTTTTAATAAGTTCTTAAAGAAAACAATGAGAATATGCTTTAGAATAATCAAACTTTCTTAGTTACCATCCAACTCCATTCAACTTATTATTAATTATTTAAGTAATTTAATAATAATTTTTTTATTAAAAAAAAAAAATTATGAATTTGAATTGTGAGGTATATAAGTTAAGTGAATTGAAAAATAAAAAAAATTATATCTCTCATTATCATAAAAAAAATAAAAAATAAAAAAAAACTTTCGGCCAGTTAAGTGGGTACAGTTGCTGCCTTAAAAAAAAAGATCAAACCATCCCAGTGTGCCAATGGATAACAAAAAATATAGAATAAATTCAATTAATTCAAACTAAATTAAAATTAAAACAATCAATGTAGGGTATGCAATTAAATTAAATTGTATGGGATAAGAGAATATTACCTCTCATTATACAATTTAAAATAAATTAAAAAAATTCAAATTAAATTAAACTTAAAACAACCAATTTTAAATACAGAAATTTAGTACAAAATTACTTTAACATAATACAATAAACAATTTAAGACAATAGAGAATCCAATTCCATATATAAGTCGAAGACACATAAATGATCCTTATTCTTCCCCCTGTTTTCTTTCAGGTTCATTTTGGAACTATTCTCTCAACTTTCTGTATTTACTTCCAAAACCAAAATGACTCATCAACAACCAAACGAACGTGAGATGTTCTCCACCCTTGCTTAGTTGATCTGCATGGACATTCGGCCTGCATTTAGTAGCAACATAGCACATCAATTGTACCCAAACTTTGCCAATTCCCTCCCATGGATAACCATCCTCCCATTCGAGCCCACGGGCAACCTCAACTGCTTCAAATAATAACTTCATTTCTTCATCTTCATCTTCTTCTTCTATTCTTACTTTTACTTCCTGGGACCCGAACAAGATCTTTTTAGCAAAACTCCTCTCATTTGAGAAAAACTTCCAGGGTACTATTGACCTGGTCTGTTTAGATGTTCTTTTATACTCATCTTTCCAATTGTCCAATACACCGGCCATCATGGTGGGCCGCATCTCTGCAAGGTAAAACATATAATCTGAAAGTAGTTTGCATATTTATCTGTAAGTATCAGTTGTCCCATGCCTGCGGTGGCCGGTGTTTCGGAAGCATAATTCAGTGGCTATGTGCCACACCAGGAGGGTTTGTGTGTAATCCAACTTTCCAGTTAAATTCTTGATCAACTCCTGCTGTTTCTGATTCATGACTGGCTCAAGAAGTGTTTCAATTTCTTCTTCTGACAACCAAACTTCTTTCTCCTCTTTGTTTTTGTAGCAATACCTGCAGTTAAATTTCATCTTTATTTCCCTCAAAATGAAACTCCAGAGTGAGTCCTCGAAATGTTGGAAAGACTGACAATGGAAATTATTAATGACTTTGGACAACAAAGTCCCTACGGAAGGAAGATCATCCAGTTTTTTTCACATGATGTGTTAAAAAATTGAGCTGTGAAACTGTTTTCGACCACCTGCGCCTTTTGATAGGTGCATCGGGCAACTCACAATTGTTGATAAGTTGAGATCCATCTTGGATGTGAGAAATTGCAAACCAATCTAAGCTTTTAATTAATATGAAAGATAAGACATCCATTGCTAATGCCCCGATCAGCAAACCATAGGTTATCAAGATGTCAGACAACTCCAACTTGTAGTGCTTCTTAACCAATGAGAACGAAATCAAGGCAACCAAGATGCAACCAAAATTTGCCATACGGAAATAGGATCCAGTCTTGCTGTCTAACAGGGGCAACTTGGTGTGAAGAACCTCATACAAAAGGCTTAGCTCAATCTCAAAAATCCGAAGCACTTCTCCATCACTCCTTCGCAACATGATCCTTTCTATGATTCGCTTTAGTTCCTTTTCCTTTGGAAGAGGGCCAACAAGTATCCCCTTTAAATTGCTGAAGAGTAGAACTGCAGTTCCTGATATTGATTTGTGGTTCTCCATCATGGAACTGTTTTGGAATGACTAGTCCAGTTTTCCCGCGGACAGGCACCCAATTTTTTCCTAATTTCTCAAAGCTTGCACGGTTAAGAGCAAGGGTCCGCCCAAAGTATTGATTATGCCCGCAAGTAACACTAGGATGGTTGCGAGCCAAGGCTCGTTATTTGGTGAGGACTTAAAGAAGGCGTAGATAGTAGAAAAAACCTGCGACAAGAACGCAAGAAAGTGCCTTTGCCACAACGCATTATCCTGTTGAGAATAAGAGGTAATGGCGTCGGGACGACCAAGGTGCACCAAGAGAAAGGGTGTCCAAAAGGCAATGATGTCAATAGGAGGGCAGCTTGACTTGGGACTGTTGCTGTGTAAGATGAGTTCCATGCTAGATGTAGCAACCTAGTTTGCGGGAAAATACACAAACCAAATCAACCCAATGATCCATTTCGCTCGGCCACTTTGAACTTTTCTTTTTGGTGCCAACAGATTTAAGATGACCTGCAGAGAGAGGCTTACATGTTCAAATTTTTTTTCAAAGAAAATGGAGAGAATTTCAGGAGAAGAAGATGAAGAGCAGAACACATAAAATGGAGAGGAGTATATCACTCCAACTCAAATTTTCTCATTACAATTTCTCCTATTTATAGGAGAATACATACTGAATTCAAAATTCAAATCTAAGCAATTATTCTACATTTAAAAAACAATAAAAGTACACTTTAAATTTGAAAATAACAGTCACTTTTGCTGCATGCTTGTGTCCTTTGGCAGCTCTGCAGCATGCTTGGTCCCTTCGTTTCATTTGCATTTGCATTTGAGTTTGCATTTGCATTTCATTTGCTGCTCATTTGGAGCTTCATTTCATCAACATTTGCAGCTTAGCTTGCTGCACATTTTTGCTGTCATTTGACAGCTTCATTTTCATCAGATTTGCAACTAAATTGCTGCCATATTTGCTGTCAAATTGCAGCTTCATTTGCTGTCAATTTCCAGCCTCATTGTTGCCATTTCATGGCAGTTTCATTTAATCATTTCTGCAGATTTGAATGCCACGTTTCTAGCAATAATTCCAACATTACAATCATTAATCCCTTAATACTCCATGCATTCCACAGCTTCTAAGCTCTTTCCGTAAAAGACAGTGCCACTGCAATCGTTTTGTTTCCCCAGACAATTTCTCTGGGACCTTTATTCTGATGTGAGGTTTCAGGGTGTAAAGAAAAGGAGGCAAATACTACAGTAAATATTGACTTAATAAACTACCATATATGATTATTCCAACCAATAATGCTTCCAAATCACAGAGCAGGAAAAAGACACGCCAAAAGGTTATATATAATCCTTCCTATACTAATGCATTTAAATAAATACAAAAGAAACAAGATCAATAAATAAATAAATAAATACAAAAGAAAAGAAATGGATAATATATACAACAAATTTACAAAAGGGTATATATAATCCTTCCATTTGGATTTTTTCTGTGCATATCGTTTCGAAATTTCTGTGCATTTTACAGAAATTGAAGAAACTAATTAATGG